ATCACAGCGTCTTCCATCAGCGCCAGCGCCAAAAATGAATGTGATATATGCAATCGAGATGTTAAATGGCCTTCGTATACAAGCTTTCAGCGGATTTAGTAACCTAGGTTACTTCAGCGCCAGCGCCAAAATACCCTAGGTCAGGCCAAGTGGGTGCGATGTTCAAGTTCAGGTGGTCGAATTACCTCTAAAACCCAGCTTTCATCCAAATCTGCCCACGTAGAGAATAACTCGATTAGGATCCGGCCTGTTCTTGGAAAACTGGGTTTGTTTTCCAGATAGAGTGCGTCAAATATGGTGTGAGTCCGCAGCCGACTATCGCAATGCATTCAACCTCACGCCTAAATTCTTTTGTGAGCCACTTGCGCCCTACTGAAAAATCGTTATTGTCACTCTGCGACTAGAAGAATATGGAAGGAGAAAGGGTGGAAGGTTTGGTTGGTTTGGGTGGAAGTCGATTACGCCCTTGTTACAGTCCTGTTGCCTGCGGACGATGGGACGTGTCAGCGGGATCGGTTTGGCGCGGTGCCAAACCCGTTCTCCATCACTTGTTGGAGCGAAAAAGTGACAGAACTGTACAGTACGTCTTATCACTCGTTTCCTACCAACTGCTGTCACATACCTGCTTCAAGAACTGGAAGAGAACGGGTTTGGTGCAGAGGCACAGTCATATGTCTGACAAGTGTACACCACCTTCTCCGCAAGTAGAACATATAGAGGGGAAAATCAGCCTGGAGCGTCCAACTTCTCTCTTCATGAAACCTCGGCATTATTGTGAACTTTTGAGTTAATTTGTTCTGCCAAAGAGGTTGGTAGGTGGAAGACTTTATTGAAAATGGCCTGACGTTTCGACAGGATCGTCGTCCTCAGAGGCCAGTCCACCACCACATGAGCGGAACGATGCCACTCGCTGTTAGTTGTAGTTAGTAAGGACTTGGTGGTGGTGGACTGGTCCCTGAGTACGACGATCCTATCGAAACCATTTCAGACCATTTTCAATAAAGTCTTCCACTTACCAACCTCTTTGGTGGTATAAATTACAAGCTCAATAGTTCAACCTGAAGCATCAAAGTGACTTGAAACAGAGGAGCTCAACACCCAAACAGTCGTCTCATGGCCAAATACGGCTAAACGATCGTACGATTCCGTACGATTACCTGTACGGATGGAGTTTTGTAAAAAAATGTTCTACCGGTGTTGTAGTAGACCATTTGTCTACTACGAGTTTGAGTTTTTGGATGTTTTTGATGTCGCAGTTCCCCCCCCCCCCCTCCCTCCCCTCGAATCGGAATGGATTCCACAACAACGATGGGCAGTGCCTTTGGGCGAATTCCTGATGGAAGTTAAGTCTATCCTTCATCTACCCTTGCGAAACCAAAAACATCCAAAAACCCAAACTCAGACAAATGTCTACTACAACACCGGTTGAACATTTTTTGTAAAACTCCATCCGTACAGATAATCGTACTACTCAGAAATTGGGCACCCGGTATAGGTGCTGTCGCCACTTGGCGTTAGGACGGTGATGTGCTTCCCCGTAAGTAGGTTTGCAACGAGTTTGATGACCTCTATAAATGAAAATGCTACGATAAAACTCCCTGACATCCTGGCGTTTCAAGTGCTACTCGTAAGACTCAGTTCTCGCCGCAACGCGCAGAAGCTCGCAGAGCATCCTCTGGTGGATGATTGTGGAACCTTTGCGTCGAGGCGATTAGATGCTGGTGCGAATGTCGATGACGGTCGAGAGATCTGCGCTGCGAAGCGACGCCGTTTCCGCTGTGTGCCCTCACTTGGCACCCGGGATGTTGTAGTGTACTTGTGCCCTGAATTCTCGCGAGCGAACCCAAAATATCTGTTGTTTCTTATGGCCCAAGAAATATTTGGTCGAGTGTTTTTTTCTTTAGGCTTTCTGTGTACTGCCCAAAGAATGCGAGCTAATACGTACTGTCGTAACAGGCCGAGGCATTTTTTTGGTATGAAAATGTCGGAATAGATTTTCCCATTAGCTCAGAGAAGTGTCCATTCAGAAAATGGAATCCATAAAGTATGCGGCAGAAGAATGAGGAAGGTTAAAATGCCTGGCAACCGTGCTCCAGAGGCCTAGAAAACAAAAACTTCTACCAGCTGGACGAACTTGCAACTTGCCTTGTCTTTCCTTTTTTTCGGTAATCGAAGCCCGACAAAGCTAAACATACTTAGTAGCTGACATGTGTTATAAATAGCTTCAAAATGAGATCTTGTAGGTAGCCAACGACTTAGAGCTTTCCTTCCATTAGCACTTTGTGTAGGGCTGATGAGAAAAATCTCAGAGGGGCATGAAATGGAAGATAATTGTCCCTTCGCTTCGCGTAATACAACAGATGAGGACACGAGCACTAATGGCTCCCAGGAATAGAGTAAGGAACTCGTGAGCATTTCAGCGGCATACCTAGGAGAGAATTACTCCAAAAGAATGAAAGATTACTCCAAATGAATGCGGAAATCTATCGTGCAGGATAAAGTTGGAAGAATCTCATCAGGAGGTCGTACTTGATTGTTAAAGTGATATCGCAACTGCCTTAGAGAAGGAAATCTCCCTCCTAGTTGTCAGGGCCGCAGAACCACCATACAACTACTAATATAGCTTCTATTTCTAGTAGTTGCTTTATAGATGCTTTATAACGTGTTGCACATTCATCGGTGGGGATATGCACTACATCAATCTTGGGGCGCTGGTCCTCCGCCGGGAGGGACAACTTTTTGCAACTGTCCGGCCAGGGCACACCATTGGTTGGCGATGTTGGTCGAGCCCGTACGACACCCTCCATTTTTTAGGATGTTGGTAGGACCTCACCTCTTTTCATCAAAGGGACATATAGTACACATAAAACAGGAAAAATCTCATAAAGTCAGCAACCTCTCCTAGAAAGCCAGAAGGCAATTGTGACCGCCCTACCACTCCCACAAGGCAGGGCACAGCATTCGATGGGGATTTTGGTCGAGCCTGTACGACCCCCCCCCTTTTTTTGGGGGTTCGGTACGACCCCCCCTTTTTTGCCGTTCGGTTTTTTTCGCCTTAAATGAAACTATGAAACGCCCACTATGAAATTCTACTTGTATGAAGGTGCCCATACTAAATGGACGACTTGAAGTCATGACATAATAGAACAATACAGAGATGATTGCAAACAAAAAACGGTACAATCGTATTATGAGAAACTCGTATGATGAACTTCTTCGATGGCCGTTTTGAAACACACATGGTAATAATAACGATATATCGCGATTAAATTCAATGAGCATTCGTTAACCTGAGGTGGACTCCCTCTCTGGGAGCGGCCATCAGCGACCACAGTGTTAACAACGTCTATTCCCAAGATTGAGGACGAGGAAAAGAGAAAGTTAGGCTTGTCTCACTACGTAACAGTTATACAAACCGCCGTAAAAATGCATTACCCCGATTATTGGAGTACGGTAGCAGAAGCGCATGTAATTGCAGATGTGACCGCAGATCGTTCGGCAATTTTAGCCATGGAGCGAGAATTTTCAGCAAAGTAGGGTGTCTTTGAAGGACCATAACTTCCTCAAAAGCGGACCTGTGGGGAAGAGGAGACCGTATTCGTGTAGAGGAAGGTTTGCACTTCCTAAAAGTACTGAAACGTTTATGAAGGTCGCAAAAATCACAGAGAAATCTGCCCATAGGGATTCCATGGGGAGTGAAGGGTTGAAGTTTAAGTTGAACAGGTTTGAATCAATATATTTTTTTTGTAACTCAACATTTCACAAATCTGAGAACGGATCGAGTGTTTGAAGATTTTCTCTTTCTAAAAACCTCTTGAACTGTTTCTGAAGCTCTCGGGATTCATGAGATCTCGCTATGGGGATTTCTTGAGGAACACTCCCAGCTGCGCGAAAAACCCGTTTCCTGTGTACCGTTTCAAGTGAGCGTGTTCGAATAGCCAGGAACGCATGTAGAACGTATCCTGTGGTGGAGCAGGAGCAGGATATGGTTCGTTTAGCGCCGATCACGCCAACTTTGGATGCGCCGCGCACTGAGGGCCGCGCAGAGGTGATGGGATGGTGCAACTTGTGCGTAATGTCTGTTCACGCGAGCAAATGTGTCTATAAGGTTCAGGGAGGTCCATGGCGAGCCTGTGCACTTGTTTACAGTGTTTTCCGTTGCGTATGATGGAACATGTCCCTGTCAACGCTGCCAGATTCGTGCTCCGCCAATCGCTGACTCCGATAAAGGAGACCAACTGCTGGAAAACGTCTGATATGAACGATATGGTAGTCCTGTCGCTTGTCGAGAAAAAAACAGGTTGGCTCAGCGCCAAGCGTGACCGCGGACACGCCATATCATTGGCAGCGAACCAGAGTTTGACTGTTTGTACTGTTTAGTCACCAACGGACCTACGAGATGATGTCGACTTATTAATATTTGCAGTTATTTCGGATTAGTTTGATGAATGAAAGTTTTGTACTATTTTTTTGCATATCCGAGTTCTCTACAAAGCAAGTTTCGTTGTACAGGACTCAGCACATTGACAATTTGCGCTGCTCGTTACTGGCTGCCGCACTCACTACGACCCCCCCCTCTCCTGGCGGCCAAATACGACCCCCCTGTTGGGGATTCCCCAACCAACGATGTGCCCTGCAAATACGACCCCCCCTCCTTTATAGCGTCCGTGGAACGGGAAAAATCAAGCATCAAAAGTTCTTTTTAGACCGAATAGGACCCCCCCCCCCCTTCCTCCCCCCCCCCCCAGCGACCAAATACGACCCTCTGTTGGGGAAAACAACGACGATGCCCTGCGTGCGGCGAACTACCAGGCCAGTTTCCAGAGTTCTGTAAACTTCTGCAGAGCTATGAAGCGGTACTGTTTTAAAATCCCAAAGAAACACGAATATTGCCACTGAGATGAGTGAACTACTTTTCAAAAATTGGAAATCCTCTTTACAAAAACGTGTTGGTTCAACTGCCTTGGAACTTCTGACCCTCCCGAGGTCCTAATAAAAACTTCATCGGCTGGCTCATAACTGTTTCTATGGGCATCTTCGAGCTGAGTACCCTTCCACCTGGGGAACAACGGAAAAAGTTCTTGGAAATACTGCTCATGCGAATTTGTAGCCCAGCAGTAACCTCGATGATTGCAATGTCGCTCAGTATGTTGATAAAGGAAAAAGAAAGGAAAATGAATGAAAATAGGATGAAGAAAATGAACCATCCTCTGATGCGATTGCGCCATTGCTTCATATTTCCGATTTTCAAACAGACTCCCGGGTTTCCAAGGACGTCAGAGTTTCTCAGAGTCTTTTTTTCTCTGGCAAAGAGCGTGAATGGAACTTTATTTTGAATTCAGCCCTCATACCGAATGTCAGTTTCGGAAACCTCTTTTCAGAAATAGGAAAAACTCATAAAAATGTTAAATTCACTCAATTTTGAACTATTGGGAAAAAGAGAAGAACTGTGTTTAAAAAATCTACACACACAAAACATGAGTGGTATCGCCCTTTCTCTAGACGAACCATCGCTATTTGGTCCACCCTTTTGCTTCATCGTGAGGTAGGGTTGACGAAATAAGGACGATATAGGGTAGGAGTTGACAAATAAATGATGAGAATTGGTAATGTAGACACTCATGCGAAACTCATGCAGTAAAAAGAAGATTAGAAGAACGGGCGCTGTTTGGCATGGAAGGGGCATTTTGTACTTTCGCTAGTTTCTTATGCTGGTTCATGTTTCCTAACATTAAAAAGTCTCTTTTTGGTTCACCTGTGAACTTCTGTTAAAGACAGATCAAGTAGTCCGCAAAATGCCTCCGTGAATTTGGCATAGTTGCCCGCATTTGCAGAGTACCACTTTCGTCACTCGGAGCGGCGAAATAAAGAAGCTAGAGACGCGTGATTATTGCAACCATTGCAACCACGATTACTTTCACTCTGCAAGACAACGGCTTACAAGTGGAATTGCATGTGTACATAGCGCTTGTCTGGAGTGTCGTAGGGTGATTACCTGTGCTCCTGCCGGGAATTGTCGAATCCTGCTGACTGGGCTTGCCTCGCCTGACTTACTCGTCCAAGGCGCCAGCCTCACTGCTAAAGGGGTCTCTGCTCAGAGTGTTTCCAAGGTTTTTTTTTGCTTCTTTCTCTTCTGGGGAGATACCTATGGGCTACTGATTTATAACTGAACACCTACTACCCGAAACACTTGGTCGCAGGAATCGTTTCTAAGCACGAAGTTTTACTCCCGGAACTATGCATGTCTTCACAAGGTGGCTTGTACAAACTTAGCTTAGTACCATCTGGTGCCCCCATCAAGTCGAACTGCGCTGAAAAATGGAGCAGAAAGCTAAATGAACGATATTATATCCGTTCACTGTGTAAACGAAAATATCAACATAGTATAAACACAGCATACCAATTGATCTACAGACTTTCAAAAACTGATATTTTTTTTCTTTTAGCGTACTCATTCGCTGTTCAACAACATTGTGAATCGTATCGCCGGTACTCGATCACCATCGGATCACGGAGGTGAGTAAACGACGACGTGCACGGCGCCTAATTTGCCTCAACTGGTTAATCGCTGAGACGATTATTCATTCGCACGCATTTCCGCTGTTTCCGTTTGCTTCTCGTCGTTGTCGTCGTCGTCGTCGCTTTCCTATATGAAGTTTTTAGCGTTTGAATTCAGAGTCACGCCCCTTCTCTCCCACCAATTCACTGAGTGCAGTTGAAGCCAGTCCAATGCTTACATCTGCACCTCGTCCCGTGCCAGCTCCAGTGCCGCAACATCAATCGGCCAACGGAGGTACCAGAAGGTCAGTTGATCTCCGTCTGCAGTAAATGGCTTTCTTCCAGCCATGTTTATGGTTTCTCTTCTTTCAGACTTCCTGCTCTACCGATTTACGCCAACCATGTTAGGGATGAGACAATGGCTCCAAGGATAGAAGAACGACCACCCGGACTGGATGGCAACAATCGGTTACTTATGGCTAATAGGAGGTATGTGAAAGTCCTTCACATGCAATTAAGTCCCGACAACATCTACTATTCAGCAATCCGATTGATCCTGACGATGAAGAGCAATGGGTAGGCCACCGGCACCGACATGGTGAACGCCGAACATTGCCTCCTCTACGCCAACCTCTTACCATGGCTCGTAGTCAAGCGTTGGCACTAGCGGGTAATTTCCCCCATCACGTCGCCGTCCACTCTTATTCGTTCGAACAAATGTTAATGTGTTCAGGCATGCCATCAGAAGCCTATGAAGGAACGTACCGGCCTGTTCCTGAAGGCAAATCGCTCAATTTACCATTCGCATCAAGGTCGATACTAGCCAATGAAGACACACGGCCAGCTGATCGACTTGTTGGCCAGGCACTTGGACTTGGACGGTGACTATCTTCTCTGCTTTTCTTTTCTTTCTTGTTTTCTCCCTCAATGTACAAGTTTTTCCGCTAAATTACAGATATTGGCTGGTAATTAAATGAAAAAAAAACTTGACTAGTGGTCACGCATGAAGCCAGGGTCATTAAGGGCAAGTGGCACGATAAACCGACAAGCGTACGGGGTCCACACGCCTAGCACGAAAGAATATTGTCCCCCTCAACAACCACTGTGTGGCGCCTTTTCCAACCAAGAGCCCCTGAGCGAGGTGCAACAGGTTGGCCCGAAATACCCACTGCAACAGCCCACAAATGGCCGCACAGTCACATCGACGCTGATACCGATGGATATATGAATACATAAGTGCAGTCGTATCTATCGAAGCTTGTTAGCACGATGCCAACGGGGTACTCGTCCAAAAATGCCTTCTGTATACCCGTCCAATGTCGTGCGAAACAGATTTTTTCGCAAGTTTTTGGCCGTTTAACTTGGCTTTCTCCTTTTTTCAATACTATGGTACTGCTACAATACTTAGCACGTACCAAGCCATCGTGCCTTATGCCATCAATAGCACTCATTAGGTTGACGCTGTGAAAATATCGAGTTGTCCCTTACATGGTCTCTGCAGAAAGGCATTTCGGACACTGTTCGCCAGAACCTCGAACCGTAAGTAGTGAATCATTAGGATTTTAAGCTACCGAAATGTTGTCATCAGGTGGTTTGGCGACGGGGGGGGGGGCATTTTGTATTATCATTGCTTCCCTAGTTCCGGTTTACAAGTCTCACTCTGGTGAAACCTGTGAACTTTGTGAAGCTGGAGCAAGGTCGTCAAGCCATCATGGTAAAACCTGTCAACTCGAGAAGAGGCTGTCTAGATAGGTCGACACGTCGATGGGAAGTAGCAAAAGTGCAAAATGCCCCCCGTCGCCGAACTGCGCCTAGGTACTCTGGTCGACGGCTTTTTTTTGGGAACTTGAGAAACTGGAGGTGTGGAATTACAGGAAGTAGGTGAAATTGGATTTATTGTAAGGGGCTGAAGAGAGTCGAAGCTGAGACAGCGCTCAAAGGTGGACGGCTGATGTTTCCCGTCTTCGTGACAACGACGTAACTTGGCAAATATAAAAATTCTCATCACTGGCATTAGGAACGTCGACCATGTTACATCTTGGGAGATATGTGACAAGACTATCGTAATTCGCCGCGAGTTCGCCGCGTCGCCCCCACTAATGGTGATATTTTTTAGGTTCTAGATGGCCACAACAGAAAAAGTATAACCATAGTAGCCTCGCACGTCATTGTCGTATAGCTGCCATCGTCGCGCACGACGAAGCGGTCTCATTATTACTATTTACGATTGTCTTGACCGTCTCCTCATTTCGGGTACCATATGAACCTAGTCAGGCCCATACTGAAGATATGATATTACATGAATTTCAAGCTTGATAGAAAGCTCGAGATGCGCTTTAGGTGAAACACTTTCATAATTGAACACAACACATCCTTTCGGCCATCCCTTAATGACGTGAGGTCTTCATTTATTGTGGCGGCAGCTGTGCTTTTTTGGTGGGATTTATATATTTTGATTTTGGAACAGTTGTAATTGTGTCTCGGCAAAGCACACGACAAGATGACAGTCGGCGCAAATTGAAAAATCAAACGGATAACCATCCTACGGTATGTCCAAATGAGTTTTTACCGTTTCCCAGGGATATCTCCATCTCTTCCACGTTTCTCAGCTTGCCGATTTCACAGGCGTGGTCTGGAAGACGTACATTCAAGGGTCTGGTGGACCCTTGCGTACTCCAGTTGAAACAACTGATATTAATAAAGGCCTCGGGACAAACTCGTCATGACAAGATTTTTAGAAGCCCGAGGTCCAGCAACTCTCTGTGGTGTACCTACGATGATTAAAGGGCAAAGCTTGGGTAACTCAGAGATTATTTCTTGTGGTTCTACTTCAAGAAGTAAGGGTCACTAGAGACTTCACTGTTGTACTAATTCCTTCAAGTTTCTACAATTTCTCCTTTTCCTGGGCGCTTCCCAGAGATCCAATAAATAAATAACCGCTGTGGTAGCGACTTGCAGGCAGTACTTTTCAAGTCCTCAAAAGTCGCCAATGCGAAAACTGAAGTTCTGGAACTGGCTTCGGCAGCAAAAGCAAGTTTTGACAGCTAGCACTGCTCTAAATATCACAAGAACACTAAGTCATGGCAACGAGACTTCATTCTAGGCGGGACTGGATCCGCACGTCACGCTTTCTGGGCATGTGCGCTATCTATTGGGCCAACAAAGCCAATGTTTGTAGCGTTTCATTTGTCATTTTTGCTGTCTATCGAAAAAAGCAAATTTTTCATCGCTTCTTGCGCAGTGAAAACGAAATCTTAGGCCTATGGTTTGCAATGAAATTCGAGACTTTCACCAACAGATGACGAGCTTAAATGCTGCAGTCCAAAGAACGGCGAGCGATGCTCAATGGCGAGCAGGAATCCTTCGTTTCTCTCGCGCTCCTCCTCACCCAGGGTGCAGCATCGTGATGTGTGAGATGTAGTGTCATTACGACCCCCCCCCGTTTAGGAGAGGGTCTCGATACGACTCCCCTCTTTCCCCAACACCGACGCACCAATTCCCCGCATTTTCCAGTTTTTCCCCATACATTTTCCGTCCGTCGAGTGGGGGGGGGGCGGGGGAAGCCAATGTAAAATGACAAAATTTCTTACATTCTTACATTATCCCAACTTCCTACCACTTTTTCCGGAATTTGCCGAAAATTGTCCTACTTTTCACCAAATTTTGCTGTCGAGGAAGGGATATATAGTACGGAACGTCAACAACCGAGAAAACGAGAAAAATTTTCTCTCAAATTCCTCTCAAAGGCCTATACGACCCTCCTCCTTCTCCCAACAACGACCAAGTACAACCCTCCCTACGCAGCGGAAAAGCACGATCCCCATTATGTGTTTCACACAACGACGCTGTATACCGTGTCTCCAACATCCAACAGAAGCTTGTCCGATTCATCACCTTTGGGGAATCCATAACGAGAGGGTTGTATTTGAACCGCTGAGGGGTCATACCGTAGGTAAGTACATGGTAGTTGCTGCGGGTCTATCACAAATAAGACACGATCGGACCCACGATGCGAGGCTATGGGTTACGAGCTCAGAAATTGCTCTGATTGTGAGGGGACAATATGTCGTAGCTGGCTATGTCAGCTGTGATCGCGCTACAGCCTTCTTCGCAGCGGGAGCGTCAGGGGGTGGGGCGTTAAGGCGGCTGGGTTTGGCACGGCGCCAACCCGTTCCCTACCAATTATGGAAGCTGGCAAGCGACCACATTGAAAAACAGGCTGCATTCACCGAACCCTACTCGCCTACTAATTACACGCGCCAGCATTCTCATAGAACAAGACTATGGTTCAGTTTTCTCCATCACATTGTCATTTGTCAATATACCAGCTTATTCAGATACATGGACCGTCGAGTAGTTGGAGCGGCTCGACGTGAAATCGAAGAGGCGTTTGCATTGAAAGATCACGAGATGGACATGGCTGCAGATTCGTTGGCCCCACAGTTCATGCAACACGTTGGTATGAACGAGATGCGTGACTACAACGAGTATTCACGATCGGGATTACTTCGACCGGCAGCTCAACCATCACAGGAAAGTGCCGGATCACAAGAGGATCTGCTCCTTGTCACTACCCTATAGTCGCCAGACGCTCAATTTAGAAGAAAAAACTTGCTCCTTTCTATGATTTTCTCCTTTGATTTTACCAAAGATCACGGTGATCAGTTAGAGACTTTTTCTTACCGTATAGATGCACAATTTAGCGCTTTATTACGGCTTCATTATTCAGAGTACATATATGGGATATCAAGAGAGTCAGTTTTCATGTGTGTCTGTGTGTATTTGTGCCACAATCGTGTTTTTCGTAACCTAGTCCAGTCCCCCGATGATAATGGGACGCAACGTTCGAATACAGGTCAATGGTCACCCTCCACTAGGTAACACTATTCGAGTACCCCTACTTCATTACCCTGCTCACCTTTCCACTCCCCCTTTCATTCGCGGTATCTTCCTTTTTGTTTGTTATCGATGATGATGTCGTTGTCAATTATTTTATTTCTTCTATAATTATTTTTCATATTTTATATGATCGTTTCATGGTGATTTCTGATTAAAGTGACCTTGAAGAGATTCACTTGGATATAATCCAAGTCCTATGGCTCTATTTGTATGAATAGATTATCTGTTTTCTATTTTTCCAATTTTCTTCCCGATTTCCAATAGTGTTCTGGTGCTTTTGGTTCTTCTGGATCAAGTATACACTGATAAATCGTTTACAAATCTATCCAGCATTTGCCTACAAGGAAATAAACCTTAGCAACACGAATCAAGGCGCGTCCTACGTTGGGCAATCCCCGGCGGAGGTTATATTTGGTCGCGGGAGTGAGAGGAGTCGTATAAAGTCCGAGAAAAAATTGTTATGGTTGATTTTTCCATTGTCATTGGGGAATTCCAATAGGGGGAGTCGTAATTTGCTCCTCGTTGGGAGAGAGATCGTATTCGTTTCCGCGATTTCAAGTTTCTCAGGGGCTATATACCCCCCTCCCTTTAACTCGCTCGACGGCAAAATTTTGGGCAGGAGCTGGAAAATTTTTGGAAAATTTCGGTGAAATTTTGGGAAAGTTGGCAAGAGGAGGGTGGAAAATGAAGTGTAGCAGAGGACGAAATTGGGGAAGGGTGGCACTATCGGGAAGACAGCATGCTCTCCAGCACTGTTCCTGATTGTTATTACTTGCTGTCGTATTGTTGAAGTACGACGAACTGTCCTGTTGGAAAAAAATAACAGCGAAATGTCATGTCACGACAAAACCATTGCGAGTACAAGTCGATCGTAAGCATTGGGTATTTGTAATTGTCGTGCGCGACGTCGCGTGCTCCTGACGTCACACACCCGGCGCCAGGGTGGTTTTAGCATGAAGGTTACATTGGAGCTAGCTACCTTTCCT